TGCCCAGACTTGGGGGCAATCTTAAAACGCTCATCCTTGCGCGCTTAGACAAAGGCGGATCCCGAGAACGCGAAGTGCTTGGTGCCGTTGCGCCGAGGCCCCTTCTGCCCTCTGATTGACGTCGCCAGCTCAAGTTCTCAACTTCGCTAGTGACGGGCAGGCAGTGACATTCTCCCGAATGGCGACCCTCTTGCACTTGGCAAAGTTAGGGAACCTCCCGGCACTGGGCACAATGCTCACCTTGGGTAGGATCCTTGGGGCCCACGCAACCAGAATACCTGAGCGCTCACGGGCCCGCGTGGACATGCTCTAAAGCCACGCACGCGGCGCGAATGTCGAGAGGCAAAGCGTGCGCGACGAACTTTTCCCGAACAGACGGCGTCGCAACAAAACATTCGACAGCCCCTGCTTTGGCGCTAAACAATGCTGGGAAGAAGCGACGCCAGAGCAGCCCCGTCAGCGCGCGATCGGAGAACGGCTCCCCTGTAGGCCACTGTTACCTCGCGCGGCCGCGCCCCGGGGGCTCGATCGTTGCTCCGCCCGCGATTCAGCGGACCTGGGCCTGGGCCGACTCCAATCGACCGGGCAAAGTGAGCAGCCCTACGGCAGGGGCCTCGCGAACATCAGCCTTGCCCAACAGCGCTACACTGGCCCTGCGCCATTGACAGGGCCAAGCTACTGCATTCTCGATGGAAGCGAACAGATCTAGCGACTGCCGCCTGCCATCATCAGAAAGCCACCAAGCTTCTCTCTGCCGCGCGTCTTCGACGCCTGCCGCCCTGGGTGGTGGAGGTGGTGGTGGTGGGGGGGGGCGCCGAGGCCAGAGTCGTCGACGTGCCTTCCAGGTCTCGCGGCGGCTGCTCTTCGTGCATGGCCAACTCGCGGGCCCACGCCCCGCAGAACCCTGGGCGTTTCAACCTGAGTGAAGCCTTCGGGGGGCACGGCCTCGCCCGCGAACCCCTCGGCCCCCAGACGGGCGGCACAATCCTCGGTCGACGTCCCCGCCGTAGAAATCTCGCCGACCTCCGACGCGGGGCCCCTGACATGGTGGCGGAGCGCGCCCGTGCCTCGGGCGGCGTGCTGGCGCGCCCTGTCTCTGAGACCACCCCGCTCTTGCCTGGCAGCAGCGCCCTCGGCGTGACCCGCTGCTCGTCGACTGGCTTCGGCCACCCAGTCGAGCGACGGCTTTGGAGCTCCCAAGGCCGCGTCGCCCGCGCCCGACGCTCGCGGCGCCTGCGGGGGAGAGGGACAAGCAGGGGGGAAGGGGTAGGGGTCGCAAAATATTTTAGCCACTCTCTGAGGCGCCGGGCTCTGGTGGACCCCATCGGGCCACCTTCCCGCGGCCAAGCTCAAATTGGATCGGGCGTGGGTGGCCACTCCTTGCCTCCGCCCTTCTGCCGTGACGTGGGGGGGGGGCCTCGCCCCCCCGCCCCCCCTGAAACTGGCGACGTTCCTGCGGGAGATTCGGTGGAACTCCCAGGCTCCGAAGCGCCTGCCCGCGCCAATGAGCAATGTCCAAGCTCCTCAGCTTGCAAGAGCGCGGCCTGGAGGGCCGGGCGCTGCTTCGCAAGCACGGGTGGCTTGGTTTGCGTTCTGATGCTCTCAGGATGCGCCCGCCGCAACGCGCCCTTCGCCCGCGGCGTCCGCTGCGCCTGGGTGTCCGCGTGAGTTGAGAGGGCGGGGGCTACATCCTGGCCATCGTCTTTCACGGGGGGCGCGGCCTCACCAGGCGCGTCGCCCTCCTCCCCCCCTCAAGATGCAAATGGTGGAGCTGACGGGAGCTCTCGATAGACGCGCGATTCTTCGGCCCCGAGCGCGGGGTGCCTCGGGCGGCGCTGGATTGGTCGCTAGGGCCTTGCATGGATGTCTCACAAGCGGGGCCCGCTTGCTCGGGGGGTCTCGCGGCGTGCTCGGAACCGCGACCTCTGCCTCATAACTGGCCCTGAACGCGCCGGGATCCAGCTTGTCCCGCGGCGCAGAATGGGCATTGCCGGCGCCCGACCGCCCAGGCGCGCGCCGTCGCCACCGCGGGGGGGCGCCGAGCCGATTCGGACACGACAATCAAATCGAATATTCTTGCCGAGTCAAAAGCACGAGAACGCGCCGCGCTGGCGGGCGCGGCCGCGACCCATTGGAGGAGGGCCGGCTGGCCCGGCGAAGAGACGTGCCCAGGGGTCCCTAGAAAGTACAGAGGGTAATCTAAGGTTGGCCAGCTTCTGACTGATTCCCCTGCGCCCACTGGCGAATTCAAATGAACCCATGCAGTCGTGGGAGACTGTGGGCGCGCCGCTGCGCGGCCGCGAAATCTCGAAAGTCCAAGCCTGGCTGCTTCGCCCAGCCCAGCCGACGCCGGCTTGGTCGCGGGGGGAGGAAGCGAGGTGGCGGAGGGGGGCAGCCTTGAAGCGCCCCCCCCGGCGTCGGAGATGCCCGCAGCCCGCCTCCTCTGCGGCGCGCTGCGCGCCGAAGATAAAAACAAACCGGCGTAACCTGGCGCGCGCCAGTCGCGTGAGACGTCGTTAGACTGGGGCGGGGGGGCGCGAGTCAATGGCGCAGCAATGATTTCGTTAAACTAGGGCGTGGGCGCAGAGAGCTCGCCGCGGGCCCCGTGCCCTCCTAAATTGCGCTTGTCGATGGCCTTCTGAGCGCTGGGCTCACTGGAGATGCCGACGCCCCCGCCCTTCCTCATCGCGTTCCCAGAGCTGCGCGCCAGCGACCGCCCGCCCGCCTTGGAAATGCCACTGGGCCCGTGCGACATAAGATCCACCCACTTCCAACCCAGGAGACAGGCGGCGCATCGACCACCCTTTGCGCAAGGAGCCCCGCGAGCAGAAGCATCGGCACCGTCCATGAAGGCGCTCCGCTCCCGACTGCGGCTTCGGGCCCCCCCCCGACGGCGGTCTCGCGGGGGCCCCCGCGAACGAGGCCACGGGTGCGAGCGCGATGTTCGGGGGGCCCCGATGCGCGAACGCCGAGGCCGTCGCCGCTGCCGCTGGAAAGGGATCAACCCACGCCCGCACCGAACTGCCATCGCAACTCAGCTGCGCGATCTCCGCCCCTACCAGCTTCAAGAAGTATAGGGGTGGGCCCGCGCAGGTCGCGTCGATCTCCGCCCGCGGCGTGCCCCGACCCAATGTCGCCAACAGAAGGTCGCGGACATTCAGGTCCCGCATGCTCTGGCTCAACGCGATGCCCTCCGGAGGGGAGGACATGCAGTTGACTTGTGATTTTCTCTCCTGCCTCAGGTCGCTGACAAGGGCCCCCCCGTTCCGAGGAAGGTCCTGCGCCCGAAAGGCGAGCGGCCGGGCTTGAACCGTCTGCGGCGTCGCGGAGCATGCCGCGCGCAGAAGCCACGAAAGCCTAACTGCACACCTCAGAGGGGCCGTACTCGGTGGACAAAGACGGCCCCCGACCTCCGACGAAAGGAATAGAAGGCACACCAGCGCCGAGGGATATCTGGATGTTGAAGACTCGACAGCTGCGCCGCAGCCGCCGCCCGTGAAACCTCCAGCATAGTCTCCATGATTGAGCTTATTACGGATGGCCCCCTTCTTGGCCTCCTGCTCGGCCTTATTGACATCCCCCCTTGGAGGTGGCCTTTTTCTCCTTCGCCCACCTCCAGTGGGTCATGGGCAGGAGCGACGCGCCCGCGGCCTTCTGATCACCCGCAGCCCCCGACGCGCCCGTTGCCGACGATGCCGCGGGGGGCGCTGGCGCCACCAATGGAGCTGGAGATCCCGTCCTGTGCTTCCTGGTGATCTTATCCCCCGCGGTGGCATGCGAACCCGCGTGGTCGCTCAACTCGTCCGTCAGGCTGGCGATGGTCACGCTCATCGCCTCCGTAAGGGCCAGCACGACAGCCTGCTTCCTCTAAACTTCCGCAGCGCCAGCAGCGTCCATCGCGCCATCTGCATTGCCGAATTCGTTCCCTAATTTCAAGCTGAATAAGCTGGCATCAAGCGTGCCCGGCGAGAGCAGCCCGCTCAGGTCTATGGTCGGCGGGCCTATGTCCTCCTTCCTGGCAGGCGCCACACCCTTGAACACCTGGGCCCGCTTCTTCTCCGCCGTCGCCAGCGTGAGGGCTGCCTTTTGGAGCTTCTGCTTGGCGCTCTCCAACTCAAGGGCCATCTCGACCTGTTCGGCCCCCAGCTTGTCGAAGGCCGCCTGCGCCTTCTGGACTCGCGCAGCCACCGCCGTCGCCTGCTGCGTGGTGGGTGTCGAAACCTCCTTTTTGACCTTAGCCTTGACCGCGTCCACCAAGCTCTGTGCCGCCATCGCCTGCTCCGACCCGGGCGCTGCCTCGATTCGCGCCTGGGGTCGCGCCTCTTTGGCAACCCCCGTCTCGCGGGGTGGTGCTGGGGCGACGCGCCCTTGCCCGTGGCTCCCCCCGCACGGGGCTCGCTCGAGCCCTCGGGCGGTAGAAATTATTGAATGGAGCGCCACAAAGACAAGTGTTGCGGCATTGATCCAAACGGGACACCCAAACCGTTCAAACCCACCTGGGGCACACCGAGAGGTTCGCCTTCGAATCGTTCTGGGGACGCTGGGCGTTCTTCAAGGCAGGCGGCGGCGGTGGCACATTCGAACACCACTGTCCCCGAATTTGCCACGGCGGGACGGAGCCCAGCCGCGACGGTCCCAAACTGCCAATATGCTGCTGATGTTCGACCTGGCGAGGAACATGGACATGAGGCCACTTATGTTTGAGCCCGCCTCCTGATCTTTACGCTTCTGACACGCCTTCTTCTCTCTATCCATGATTGGCCGACGATTCGTGACTTTAGCTCCCTAGTTGAAAGCGGATCTTAGCCGAAATTGCGTGGAGATTGTCGGTAGCTCACGAAGCCCCGCCGCACCCCTAGCCGTGGGCAGCGGGGCCAAAATGGTTGGGACAGGAGGACAAACACAAGGTGGAAAAGGAGGAGGCGGAGGAGGCCGAGGATGAGCATCAGAAAGAGGGGGCGGAGGGGGAGAAGGAGGAGGAGGAGGAGGAGGAGGAGGAGGAGGAGGAGGAGGAGGAGGGAGGAGGAGAGGAGGAGGAGAGAAGGCGGAGGCGGAGGAGGCGGAGGAGGAGGAAGAGGAGGAGGAGGAGGAGGAGGAGGAGGAGAAGGAGGAGAAGGAGGAGGGGGCTGGCCGCCTTGCCGATCGACCTGCGCACGCCGCGGCCTGCCAGTCTCTGGTCTTCGGCGCTGTCGGCCGCCTCTCCTGGTCCAGCGTGGTTCAGGGCTCGTGCTGCCACCAGGCGTCCGGCGGCGTGCTGGAACAGGGCGCACGCATGGAGAACGCTGCGGAGATGGGGAAGGCCTTCGAAAGGGGGGGCGAAGGACTTGCCATCGCTCGCACGTCCTTTCCCCGTGCATTTTCAAGCCTCGTGCGTGCATCTTTTCGCGAGGTGATCCCAGGTGCTCCTCGATCGTCCTCGCCGAGAAAAAAAGGTGCAGACGTCCGAGCGATGCCAAGAGGAAGAAGCTGGCGGAGGAGGAGGAGGAGGAGAAGGAGGAGGAGGCAGGAGGAGGAGGAGGAGGAGGAGGAGGGAGGCAAGGAGGAGGAGGAGGAGGAGGAGGAGGAGGAGGAGGAGGAGGAGGAGAGGAGGAGGAGGGGAGGAGGAGGAGGAGGAGGAGGAGGAGGAGGAGGAGGAGGAGGAGGAGGAGGAGGAGGGCCCCAGCGAAGGTGAGCCGCGCGGAGCGCGCCGGGGTCGCCACGCGTCCCGCGGGGCCGCCCCGCCCGGCACGCGGCGGGTGGCCCCACGCGACGGTTGGCCTCGCCCGTCGTGCCCGCGCCCGCCTCCGCCGCTGCCACCCGCGCCTCCTGCGGGCCGGCGCGGGCCTCGGAAGTGGCGTCGAGGCCTAGCTTTAGGTCGGGGGTCGGGCCTGTGCCCCTATAGGGGGATTTTGGGCGAACAATTAAAATTATCCCAGTGCGACCCGACCTAGGAGTTGGAGCCTCTAGGAAAGCAACAATATGCTATGCTATGCTATGCTGCGCTGTGCTATGCTAAGCAATGCTATGCTATGCTATGCTATGCTATGTTATGCTGAGCTATGATATGCTATGCTATGCTATGCTATGCTGTGCTATGCTATGCTATGCTATGCTATGCTAATGCTGCGCTGCGCTCTGCTGCGTTAAACTAAGCTAAGGTAAGGTAAGCTAAGCTAGGCTATGCTACGCCATGCTAAGCTAAGCTAGGCTAGGCTAAGCTAAGCTAAGCCAAGCCAAGCCAAGCTAAGCTAGGCTAAGCTAAGCTGAAATAAGCTAAGCTCAGCTATGCTAAGCTACGCTGAGCGAAGCGAAGCGAAGCTATGCTAGGCTAACCAAGCTAAGCTAAGCTAGGCTAAGCTAAGCTAAGCTAAGCTAAGATAAGATAAGCTAAGCTGTGTGAACCCAGGGGGCGCAACTGGGGGAACCGCGGGGCGGGGACAGGGGGAACCGCCTGGGGCGTTTACACTGCCCGGCCCCATTTAAGCAAACAAAATAAGAACCCTCTAGGCAGAGCCTAGGTAGGGAATGAGCTAAGCTAAGATGAGATAAGCAACGTTAAGCTAAGGGAACGTCACTGGGGGAACCGCGGGGCGGATGCCGGGGGAACCGCCTGGGGCGAGGACCACTGCCCGGTCCTTTAAGCTTACCGAGTAAGAACCCTTCTAGGCAAAGCCTAGGTAGGGAAATACCCCAAAAGAATATTCAAAAGAATGCTCGAACATGGTCAAAAAATGGTCCCCATACTATTTTTTCACTATTTTTGAATACTCCCTCTGTAGAGGGACAGGCCCGACTTAAGCCTAGCTGGGTGGCCACATGTGAACCCTACCCCACCCCCCCACGATTTTTAGAAGGGGGTGGGGGTTCACTCCGCTCTGGAGCTCCCGAACGAAGTGAACCCCGACCCCGCCTTAGAAATCGTGGGGGGGGGGTAGGGCTCGCATGTGGCCACCGACAAGCAACAGCCAGAGCTGAAGTGGCGGACCCACCGGGGCCGAAGCGACAGCAGCGGTGACAAGGGGGCTGCAGGGGTCAACGGCGGACTTGCCCTCACAGGCTTCTCGAATACACCATGCCGTTCCGCGAGATGGTGGCGGGAGAAGCCACCTTCCCATGAGCAGCATTCCCACCAGACCGGCCCACTTCCAGCAAAAGTGGCGCTGCTGACGCTGCTCCCCCAACTCTCCCTTCTCCTCCTGGCTCCCTCCCAATGCGTCCTCCTCTCATCTCTTCTCCGAACGACGCCGCGTCGTGCTCCCATCAACGAGACTCCTGTATCTGTCGAGGAGGCTGATGAGGACGGAGGGGGGTCAAGATCGAACAAGGAGGCATGCGGACAAACAAGTGGCTGCACCACACGCTATGAAGATATACCCCCATTCGAGCACATCGGACGCCTCGACGTCCATGGGCTCTATGATGGTTCGCATGTTCGGGGACATGGCGATGATCTCGCCTCCCTCTCCCCACATTCTTTTGTGTCCCAGATGCAAGATGCTGCTGTCAAGCGCGGACAGGGACTGTCGCGGCTGCGTGAAAGGATTGGCAGGACAAATCGGACATGCGAAACACCGCATGGGCAATGCAGAACTGCTATTGAGGGAACTGCGCACGGCACGTTCCTGTCATGAGAGAGTCGGCTCTGGTTCATACCATTATGAAGGTTCAATACTGGACGAGATCAACTGTCGTATGTCTCCAGACGATGCTCGGAACCATCAGGCTTGATCATCAACGCCAACTCCCGCGCTGTCGCCGCGCCGAACTACCTACCGTATGCATAGAATCGACCGTTGTCAGAACATTTCTTACGCTGGGTCTGCCCGATGCCGGAGACATTCTGAACGACCCTCTTGCAACTGGCACCGTCGTGGGCATTCCGTGTTCACGCTCATCCACCCCGTCGCATGCGCCAGTCTGGCACCCACCCTCGAGGTCCTACGCGCCAGCATCCACAACCCTGCCCATGGTCGATTTTGCCCATTCGCAAGTCTGTGCAGCCCAAGGGAACCAAGATCCATTCATTTCTAATTGTTCTATCCTGGGCCTCTTCCTGGCCACTAGGGGGCCAGGAACAGTTGGAAACGAGCTCAATTAAACATGAGCACGATTAGAAATGAACGACGTGCACGCCATGAACACAAACTTTTGGGGAGCAACGCCGCCAGACTGGGCCAACTCCGTTGCAGCACGTGCCCGAGCAGCACGAGTACGGTCGGGGCCTCTTGCTCCTGGCGCGTCGTGGCGGCGCCCCCGGCGACGCACGCTGTGCCTCGCCCAGGCGGGTTTTCGTGCCGCTCCGCTCCGCGGGGCGGGAGGCTGCGGAAGGCTCGGGACGTTGACGTCCAGCGACCGGGGCGTGGTTAGTGCGTTCGGACTCCCCCACGTCGTCGTATTTTCCACGTGGAGTGAAGAGGGGGAGCCAGGAGGAGCCAGGATCAAAAAAGACGTCAGGATCGAACAAGCCACTCTGACAGAGGTCCGGGCCATCCTTTCCGCGTTCCTTCTCCTTCTCCTCCTCCTCCTCTTCCTCTTCCATTTCCTCCCCTCCCTCGTCCCCCTTCTCGACGTCCTTCCCTTCGTCGTCCTCCTCCTCGCTCTCTTCGCTCCTCCTCCTCCTCCTCCTCCTCCTTCTCTTCCTCCTCCTCCTCCTCCTCGGCGGGGCGTGCCGCGGGCGCCAGCCGCCCAGGGGGCCCCCGACATGCCCCCCCCCCCCCTCTCGACCCTCCGGACAGAAGGAGCACCTGCGCGCGCGAGCTCGTGCAGGGGGGCTCTTGAATTACAGTCAGGGCGTTGACCTAAGGAACTCTAAATACGTAGGCCCCTTATCCCCATAAGTTAAACTTCGATTTTCCATGGAAAACCTCAGGATAACCTCAGACAAACTGTTAAACCATCAAGGAGCACCGAGCCCCTCACCAATGAAGAAGGTTCCTTCTTCAGCGCCCCGACTCTATGTTGCTCCCATCGTACTGAAGGACCACATCCCAGAAATAACTTCGAGCACCCAGAAAAGTGTTGAAGGAGTATCGAAAGAGTGTCGAACGAGTGTCTCCCAGGGCCCGACACGTGAAAACCCTCGGGTTTGGGGGTGTTTTCTTGGTGCTCGAAATTCATTCAGGTGATCAAGGCTGAAGTAGGTTGGAACATCATAACTATTGAAAAAGGTCTGGGGGGTGAGGGTCGAGGTCGTCGCCGTCGTGGGCGTCGGCGTCGGCATCGTCGTCGTCGTGCCTCGTGCGTCGCGAGTCCTGCGTCGCGCGTCGTCGTCGTCGTCGCCGTCGTCCGTCGTCCGTCGTCCGTCGTCCGTCATCCGTCGTCCGTCGGCGTCGTCCGTCGTCCATCGTCCGTCGTCCGTCGTAGTCGTCGTCGTCGTCGTCGTCGTCGTCGTCGTCGTCGTCGTCGTCGTCGTCGTCGTCGTCGTCGTCGTCGTCGTCGTCGTCCGTCGTCGTCGTCGTCATCGTCGTCGTGGTCGTCGTCGTCGTCGTCGTCGTCCTCCTCCTCGTCTGTCGTCCGCCGTCTGTCGTCCGCCGTCGTCGTCGTCGTCGTCGTCGTCGTCGTCGTCGTCGTCGTCGTCGTGGCTGGTCGTCGAGGTCGCCTTTGTCGCCCCGAAAGACACAAACAGCATCGAGGATCGAGGTTTTGGGGCCTTTGTGTGCGTCTTCGGGCCTCCTGATGCCTACGGGGATCGGAGGTTGGGGGGTGAGATCGCAGTGGAGCGGAGACCCCCAACCGGGAAATCGTTTCGATTCGTTCGTGCCGTGCGCGCGGGCGAGGCGAAGCTGCGTGGGCGCGCGAGAGGAATGAACCCGCCGCTGCTAGGGCGAAGTCAAGACAAATGATTCTCCTCCGTCCGTCCGTCCGTCCGTCAAGCGGTGGCTCGCGGTGTCCCGCGGTGTCCCGTGGTGTCCCGTGGTGTCCGCCGCTGCTAGGGCGAAGTTAAGACAAATGATTCTCCCCCGTCCGTCCGTCCGTCAGGCGGTGGCTCGCGGAGTCCCGCGGTGTCCCGTGGTGTCCCGTTGAGTGAGATCGATCGTGAGATCGATGTGGTGTCCCGAGGTGTCCCGTGGTGTCCTATGGTGTCCCGTTGAGTGAGATCGATAGTGAGATCGATAGTGAGATCGAGAAGTGTCCCGCGGTGTCCCGTGGTGTCCCGTTGAGTGAGATCGATCGTGAGATCGATAATGGGATCGACGGGTGTCCCGTGATGTCCCGTGGTGTTCCGTTGAGTGAGATCGATCGTGAGATCGATTGGGTCATATGTTGTTCCCCCCCTCTCCCCCCCCACAACCTCCTTATCACCCGAAGGGTGTAGGGGGGGAGCGCGGAGGAGCCGTTGACAAGTATGGGGGGCGGGGGAGGTAGAGAGGTGAGAAGAAGGAAAGGGAGGGCAGGGAGGAGGGAGCGGGGGGGACGAGGGAAGAAGGTCGGGGGGGGGGGGGTAGGGCAGGGAAGTGTGTGTGTGTGTGTGTGTGTGTGTGTGGGGGGGGGGGGGACAGAGGTCGAGAGGGGAACGGGGGAAGGGCCAACGTGGCGGGCGGGAGGGGGCGCGGGCTCCTGGGCGGGGAGCGGAGGAGGCACTGGCTGCGCTGGGGGGGGGCCGCTGTCGCGCACACGGCCCTCCTGTGCGAGGGCGGCCCCTCCGCGCCGCCGCAGCCGCGGCCCAGAGCCTGGCGAGCCTGGTCCCCCTGGTGACGCCTTCTCCGTGAGCAGCGGCCAGACGCCCCTCGCTCCCCTGAAGGGGCCCAGGGGCACAAGAGTGAGGAGACACACAGCCCAAGGGCCTACCCCCCCAGCCTTTCTTCTCTGAGGGTTCATCTTCCCCCCCGCTTCCCACATGTCCCAGACATGCCCCGGAAAAAGATAGCGAACACGCATGCCAAATTCATCGGTCGGTCAACGCCTCCTCCTCCCCCATGTTCAAAGTTGGCGGTGGGTCTGATGATCTGCACTTCGACGCAGTCTCCCCTCCCGCGCGTGCCAACTTTGAGTTTGGGGGAGCGGGGGAGCGTCCACCAGTGGTTTCCCCCTACCGTGCTCCTGGTGGGCACCGATGATTGCCTTGTGTCTGCGTGTCTTTTCCCCTCCTGCTCATCTCTTTCCCCCTCCCCTCCCCCTTCCCCCTCCCCCCTCCCCTCCCCCTCCCCTCCCCCCCCCCCTCCACCTCCCCCTCCTCCCTCCTCATCCTCTTCCTTCCTCTCTCCTCCTCCTCCTCATCATCCTCCTCAGTCCTCCTCCTCCTCCTCCTCCTCCTCCTCCTCCTCCTCGCTCCTCTCGCTCCTCCTCGCTCCTCGCTCCTCCCTCCTCCTCCTCCTCCTCCTCCTCCTCCTCCTCCTCCTCCTCCTCCTCCTCCTCCTCTCATTCCTCCTCCCCTCCTTTTCCCTCCTCCTCCTCCTCCGACGACGACGACGACGTGCAAAGCCAGGCCGTGCCCCCGCCCTCGCGCAGCGCCGACCCTGGAGAATACGAGCCGCCCTCGCGCGCGTCCGCGCTGCCGCGGCGCGGGGGCGCCGCGGCCACCCTCGCCTCGCGCCCCCCCCCCCCCCCCGCGGGGGGGGGGGCCCGCGCCCGCTGCGGCCCGAGGAGGCTTCTTCCTCGCCTCTCCTACTCGCCCCGTCTCGCTCTCCCGCTCGTCCTCGCTCCTCCTCTCTCCCCTCCTCCTCCTCTCCTCCCTCGCTCCCCCTCCTCCCTCGCTCCCCCCCCTCGCTGCCTTCACTCCTCCCCCGCTCCCTCCTCCTCCTAAGAGCGACGGGGTCCACCGCCGGCCTCTCCGATCGCTCCAGCCGCCGCTGCCTCGGCCCACGCCGGGCCCCGTTCCTCTCTCTCTCTCTCTCTCCCTCTCCCCTTCTCTCCCCTTCCTCCCCCTGTCTCTGTGTCTGTCTCTTTTAGTTTCATCTCTGTCTGTCTGTCTGTCTCTCTCTCTCTCTCTCTATGTGTATGGCTCTCTATTATTTGTTGGTTTCTCTCTCTCTCTCTCTCACTCTCTTTGTCTCTTTCTCTCTCTCTCTCTGTCTCTGCTTCTCGCTGACTCTATCTCTCTCTCACTCTCGCCCTGTCTCTCTCTCTCTCTCTGTCTCCCTCTCTCGCTCTCTCCGTCTGTCTGTCTCCGTCTATATGTCTATCTCTCTCTCTCGCTCTCTATGTAATGTCTCTCTGTCTCTCCGTCTCTCTCTCTCACTCTCTAGTTATCTCTCTTTTGTGTTCTCGCTTCCTCTCTCTCTCTCTCTTCCTCTTTCCCTCTTCTCTGCACCCTGCACCCGCGCTGTCTCGCCGCTGTTCAGGCAGAGCTTCTTGTTCTCGTCCATGACGGTGTTCATGTTCTCGATCCAGACTGCGTCGACAGGACCTGGAACGGATCCGAAACCCTGGCCCCAATCAGCGGGCGCTCGCTCGCGCCAAGTCACGTGCCTGGCACCGCGCCTGCGACCCTGCTGCGGTCCTGTGTGGAGCACGCCTTCCAAGAGAGGACGCAACGAGAGCAGCAGCCGGAAAAGGGGGGTAAAGACAAAGTAGCAGTGGCGGGAAAGGAATATAAGACCGAACTCGGCCTCGGACTCACCATATAGATGGACCGGCGGGGGCCTGGCAAGTTGGGGCGCGGCCCGCTCTGCTGCGCAGGTCAAGGAACCATCCATCAAGGTGAAAACCTGCATGACGGCGAAACGTGCCAGGTGGGTAGATCACTCGCAGGGAACGGAGGGAGGCAGGGGGGGAGGAGGAGGAGGAGGTGGAGGAGGAGGAGGAGAAGGAGGACGAGGAGAGGAGGAGGAGGAGGAGGAGGAGGAGGAGGAGGACTGGGGGGCAGGAGGGGAGAAGCCTGGGCAGGAGGGCCGAGGCGGAACAGGAGGCAGGGCCACGGGAGACAGGAGACATGGAGCGCACGGCGGCAGGGTGGAGGGGAGGAAGGGCGGAGCAGGGGTCTTTGGGAGACGGCGGCAGGAAGGGGCAGGACAGGAGGAGCGGTCTCCTCCTCCTCTTCCTCCTCCTCCTCCTCCTCCTCCTCCCCTCCTCCCCTCCTCCTCCTCCTCCTCTCCTCCTCCCCTCTCCCTCCTCCCCCTCCCCCTCCTCCTCCTCCTCCTCCTCGTCCTCGTCCTCGTCCTCGTCCTCGTCCTCGTCCTCGTCCTCGTCCTCGTCCTCGTCCTCGTCCTCGTCCTCCTCGTCCTCCTCGTTCTCTGCGTTCGCCCCTGCAGAGCTGGAGCTCCCGAGGAACGCAGCAGCCTCGATGCTGGTGTACTGCCAACGTAAAGAGTGGCCGCACGGGCGAAAGCGAGGAAGAGAGAGGGGGGGGTATGTTGTTCCCGTCGTACTTGAGGACCACATCCCAGAAATAATTTCGAGCACCCGGAAAAGTGCCGAAAGAGTGTCGAAACAGTTTCGGACGAGTGTCTCCCAGGGCCCCACACGTCAAAACCCAAGGAGTTGTTGCTACTTTTCTGGTGCTCGAGATTCTTTCTGGTGATCAAGGCTGAAGTAGGCTGGAACATCATAATAAGGAGGGGAAGGGAGCAAAGAGGAGCGAACAGCAGGCAAGGGGAGGGCGGGGGAGGGGGGGGAGGCAGCGAGTGGGAGAGCGGGAGAGGGGAGGAACCACAGAAGGGGGGGGGGGGGGGGGCACTTCACGCGCACATGCACTCACGCCGCCCCTTCTCTGCTGAAGGCTCGCGCAGCCCTGGGCACGCACGGCCGAGATGGCCTCGCCGCCGTCCGCTTCCAGCCGCGCCCGCGCCCTTCGAGCGCGCTCCGGCCGGCCCCCCCCCCCCCGGTAGCGAGCTCGGCAGGAGCCGCGTGCTTCGCGGGGCCTGGCTCCCGGGCGGGCGACCCGGGGCTCCCGGAGAGATGACGCGCGCCATGGCGACGGGGCAGCGACCGCCGCGGATCGGACGATGCGATCAGCGCGCTGGCAGCGAGCGAGCTGCGGGGTGATGCCGATTATATGGAGGTCGCCTCCCCCGATTCTGAAGAAGGCAAGCGCTGGAGTGGAGGAAGTACGGATAGGGACAGACTCAGTTTGGCGGAGTGCCGCCGGGAAGAGCCTGCCGCGAGGCCGGGCCTCGCAGAGCCACGCCTTCGGACGGGCAGCCTGGCGGCCACGACGACGCACAGACGCCAGCAGCGCGTGCGCAAGGCAGGGCCGACTGCTCCCGCGCGCCCCCCGACCGTCGAAGACGAGCCACTTGCGCTCCTCCGTCTGGTTCCTGGCCATGTCGCGGAAGAGCACGGCCACCTCAGCGTGCGGGGGGCACAGTGCCAACAGCGCGGGAGGGTGGCCAGGGCAGAGGCCTCCTAATTAGCTGGGGCCCGCGCGGGCGGGGTCGGAGGCCCCTGCCGCACCGCCAAATGCGTCGGCGACGTAGTTATCGGCGATGCCTCGCCGACGTCGGCGACGCATCGGCGACGTCGGCGTGGAGAGCATCGGGCTACGCCTTAGTGGGCCCCGGAAACGGCAAGGCCGTTTTTTCACAGTTTCCGGAAAAGTGCCCCTTGAAAATGGAAACGGCAATTACGCTACCGAGGAACCCCACATACTTAATCTAAATCTCATGTGTTTGCTTAAGTTTATACTACGGCTACGCAATTCTGCGTTCTCAGCCCTCGTCGCAAATGTTCCCCTGTGTGTCATCCAACGCCACATTGCTTGAGCCTCCCTCTTCCTAGCCTTCTATCCTCCATCGAGGACAGATTCGAGCCAGCCAGCGGCCGCGGTGAGGGACCACCCCCTGCGCACCCTCTATGGTGTCGAGAAAGTGCCACGCCTGCTATGCCCTGGACGACCGACGTGCATAGCGGCCGCGGTGAGGGACCACCCCCTGCGCAGCCTCTATGGTGTCGAGAAAATGCCGCGCCTGCTATGCTCTGGACGACCGTCGTGCACAGCGGCGACGCTGAGGGACCACCCCCTGCGCACCCGCTATGACGTCGCGAAAGTGCCACGCCTGCTATGCCCTGGACGACCGTCGCGCATAGCGGCCGCACTGAGGGACCATCCTCTGAGCACCCCCTGTGGTGTCGAGAAAGTGCCACTCCTGCCACGATCTGCGAGCGTGTCACGGATAGAGGCCGCGCTGAGGGACCACCCTCTGCGCACCCCCTGTGGTGTCGAGAAAGTGCCACTCCTGCCACGATCTGCGAGCGTGTCACGGATAGAGGCCGCGCTGAGGGACCACCTTCTGCGCACGTACCACTCTTGCCACGATCTGCGAGCGTGTCGCGGATAGCGGCCGCGCTGAGGGACCACCCTCTGCGCACCCCCTGCGGTGTCGAGAAAGTGCTACTCCTGCCACGATCTGCGAGCGTGTCACGGATAGAGGCCGCGCTGAGGGACCACCCTCTGCGCACCCCCTGTGGTGTCGAGAAAGTGCCACTCCTGCCACGATCTGCGAGCGTGTCACGGATAGAGGCCGCGCTGAGGGACCACCTCTGCGCACCCCCTGTGGTGTCGAGAAAGTGCCACTCCTGCCACGATCTGCGAGCGTGTCACGGATAGAGGCCGCGCTGAGGGACCCACCCTCTGCGCACCCCCTGTGGTGTCGAGAAAGTGCCACTCCTGCCACGATCTGCGAGCGTGTCACGGATAGAGGCCGCGCTGAGGGACCACCTTCTTGTGGTGTCGCCACCCCCTGTGGCGTCGAGTGAAAGTGCGGCGAATAGTGCCACCCTCTGCTCTGCACGATCTGCGAGCGTGTCACGGATAGAGGCCGCGCTGAGGGACCACCCTCTGCGCACCCCCTGTGGTGTCGAGAAAGTGCCACTCCTGCCACGATCTGCGAGCGTGTCACGGATAGAGGCCGCGCTGAGGGACCACCCTCTGCGCACCCCCTGTGGTGTCGAGAAAGTGCCACTCCTGCCACGATCTGCGAGCGTGTCACGGATAGAGGCCGCGCTGAGGGACCACCTTCTGCGCACCCCCTGTGGTGTCGAGAAAGTGCCACTCTGCCACGATCTGCGAGCGTGTCGCGAGAAAGTGCTGTGCTGAGCTGAGCTGAGCTGAGCTGTGCTGTGCTGTGTGCTGTGCTGTGCTGTGCTGTGCTGTGCTGTGCTCTGCCGTGCTGTGCTGTGCTGTGCTGCGGTGAGCTGTGCTGTGCCGTGCTGAGCTGTGCTGTGCTGAGCTGAGCTGTGCTGAGCTGTGCTGTGCTGTGTGTGTGGGGGGGGAGGGGAGGTATGTGTGAGGAGACGCGGGTGCGACGCGGCAGAGAAGAAAACCATAACCCCACGAAACATGTGGGGAACAGAAAAAGCGACCGGAAGCGGCAACAAACACGGCTCCAGGAGTGGAACCGGAGCGGGAGCCCGTGAAGGGACGGCGACGGCACCGGCGAACAAAACGGCGTCGGAACCGGCCCAGCAGAAGCGGACGGCCCTGTCGTTCCCAGGGCCCACGAAGGGCTCCGCATCGAGCCGCACCGTCGATGCGTCGGCGGTGCGGCGCGATCCTCCGACGCCGTCTGCCCGGGCCCCCGTCGACGGGGAGGCCCGGGCAGGACGGGCAGTCCATAGGCCGCCCGGGGCCCACCCGTCGTGCACGGGAGCCCTCCCTGGGGAGCACGGCGGGAGGCCCTGCGGGAGGCAGCGCCGGGGGCAGCGGGCGCCGGAAGCCCAGCCGCCCCGCAGGACGGGCCTGTTTTGGAGGGGGGTGAAGGAGGAGGAGGACGGAGAGGAGGAGGAGGAGGGGGAGGAGGAGGAGGAGGAGGAGGAGGAGGAGGAGGAGGAGGAGGAGGAGGAGGAGGAGGGAGGAGGAGGAGGAGGAGGAGGAGGAGGAGGAGGAGGAAGGGCGGGAAGGAGGAGGAGGAGGAGGAGGAGGAGGAGGAGGAGGAGGAGGAGGACCCCCTCCCCTTCCAACTTATGGTTGTGGTGGTGGTGGAAAACAAGCCCATCACCGCATCCGGCCCGCTCCAGGGGGCCCTGAATTTCGGACATGCCACCTCTGCTTCTCTGTTGTTTCCGCTGGCGTTCGCCAGCAGAGCTCAGCATGGGGGGAAGCGGGTGCTGAGGGAAACGGGTCTTGGACCCTGGGGCCTCCCCCCAGGACGAGCTCTTCATCCTGAGTCGTCTTCTGACAGTCCCCGGGTCCGTGGGAGGCCCCAGGAGCCCGAGAACAGCGAAAAGCCTCAGGACCCGCTTCCTTCAGGACTCGTTTCTCGGCGGAGAGCCCAGGGGGGGAGTGAGAAAGAGAAGGCGTCCTCAGAAGGCTCGGAAGTCCCCCAGCCTTCTGAGACGCTTTCTCAGCCTTCCCCCGAAGACACAGGAAACCTCTGAGAAGGCCAGAGAGCTTCTGAGAAGCCCCGCCGCCTTCTGAGAAGGCCTCTTCCTTGTGTTGCACATTCGGGGGGACCTTGTTTTTTCCCGTCGCGCCGCGATCCACGTCGGATCCACATCAAATCCGTGTCGAACGCGTCGAATCCGTATCGAGTCCGCGTCTAATCCCCCTCGAAGCCACGTCCGAGTTCCAGAAAAGACGGCCATTTACAGGACAGGAGAGGCCCCTCGAAGATGCAACATCATCTCGGCTACACGCAGGAGCGACCCTGGGTAGGAGAGACCTTTGGTGCGCGGTTTCTTGAGGCCCGCGGGGGAGCCAACACACACGCACACACACAAGCGCGCAAGACGCTACTATCGCATCACGCTCGGCGATCGGAGGACCCCCTTGGGCCCGCACCAACGGTCACTCCGGCGAAAGGTCACTTCTTACGCCTAGTCGATCGTCCTCCTTCTCGCCCCCCCCCTCGCTCGCCGCCGAATCTCCCCCCTGGCGAAGGCGCCTCCCTCGAATCCGCGTCTCTCATCCGCGTCGAATCCGCGTCGAGCCCGCCTCGAGGCCACGTCGGAGTTCTGGAAGAGACGGCCACAGACAGGCCAGGAGAGGCCCAGCCCCGAAGATGCAGAGTGATTACTCCCCCTCCTCGCCCTCCCCCCCCATCGCTCGCCGGCGAGCCTCCCCCAAGCAAGCAAGCAAAGGTCCGATCGGACGCCTCGAAGCGTCACGCCCCACTCGCGAGGACGGCGAAACTGTAAGACAGGCCTGCCATGGCGAGCAACGCTGGCGGCGAAGGAGAAACGTTGGATGCAGTATTGGCAGGCGTGCTTGAGGGGAGGGCAGGAGGAGGGAAGAAGGAGGGCGAGGCCATCCTCCCCTCGCGCTGCGGCCCGCCGGGCCTCCGCCCGGCCCTCCCGGCCCTTCCGGCGGAGGGGAGCTGCAAAAGGAGGTGCCGAGCTATCCCGGGGGCCCCCCTCGGAGACGTGGCCCCCCCCCTTTCTCTCTGGACGGCGCCATCGTCAGGTCGGGGAGGAGGAGGAGGAGGAGGAGGAGGAGGAGGAGGAGGAGGAAAAGGGAGGGAGGAGGAGGAGGAGGAGGAGGGGGAGGAGGAGGAGGAGGAGGAGGAGGAGGAGGAGGAGGAGGGGAGGGGGGGAGGAGGAGGAGGAGGAGGAGGAGGAGGAGGAGGAGGAGGAGGAGGAGGAGGAGGATAACGATGATGATGAGGAGCAGGAGGAGGAACAGGGTGAGGAGGATGGGGAGGAGGAGGATAACGATGAGGAGGAGGAGGAGGAGGAGGAGGAGGAGGAGGAGGAGGAGGAGTCCTCCCACGGTGGGGACTTTTTGGGGGAGAGATGAGGAAGAACAGTCCAACACACACATTCACACATGTACAAAAGAAGAGTCGACCACTCGTCCCCAGGCTGCTTTTGACGACTTCTGAGTGTTCCTCCCGTATAGGGACATGCCCGACTTGATGCCACCGCTCCCCGCCCGACCAGCACGCCCCCTCTCCGCCCTGTCCCCCCCCCCCACGGCCGAGTGCCCCCCCAGCATGGGCTCGACCTCAATCGAGGCCTCTTAGATGGGGTCCGAGTGGATGGCGTCGGAGGACTGCACCGCATCGCCGATTCGTCGTCGACGCGGGCGTTGCATCGGCGACGTCGGCGTGCAGCACATCGGACTCCACATCGCGCCGCATCGCCGATGCATCGGCGATGCGGCGGGACCCTCGGAGCCCATCTACTCGGACCCCATCCGGGAGGCCTAGACTAGAGCATGTGCTCCTTTCTCGTGATGCCTCGCTCCGTCTTCGTTCCGCCCCTGCTGCGAGGCGAGAGCAGCACGGCAACGGCCCACGAGATCGTCATAACAGAAACACCGTGTAGGTCGAGCCCGGGCCATCCCCACCTCTCCTTCGACTGCACGCAAGAGTAACCCTCGGTAAGAAAGACCTTTGGTACGCGGCTTTCCGGGGGGCGCGAGGGACCAAACACGAGCGCACAATCCGCTTATACCGCATCGCGCGTTCGGCGATCGGGGGGCCCCATTGGGCCCGCACCAACGGTCACTCCGGCGAAAGGTCACTCTTAAGTCTAGTGAACTTCGTCTCTCTCTCTCTCTTTCTCTCTCTCTCTCTCTCCCCCCCAGGATTGCCAATCCGATCCGCACTGTAGAGGCAGAACAACGGCATAAACATAAACCAGGAGAAGATAGCAACTTCGATTCGTAACTTTCCCCGCGATGGCGAAGCTCGGCCTCGCCGCCCCTCTCCCCCGACTAGCTCTGCCTTGGCCAGAGAGAACCAACTCCTCAGGGGTGACGGGGTGTGCGTGCCTGAGCTATGACATGCCCGGGGAGGCACGGGGCTCAGGGCGAGGGACGGGAAGGGGGGGGGGGCTGCCATCCCGCGAGGAGTCGAACGCGCGCAGCCATCGCGGCACCACCCGGGTGCCGCCGCGCCTTCCCGGGAGGGCGCGGCCCCGATCCGCGGCGCCCCGCGCGGGCCGCGCGAGGAGGAGGAGGAGGAGGAGGAGGAGGAGGAGGAGGAGGAGGAGGAGGAGGAGGAGGAGGAGGAGGAGGAGAAGGAGGAGGAGAGGAGGAGGAGGAGGACGGGTCGCCTAAGCCCTTCGGAGAAACCCTCCACTCCTCCCCTCCTTCAACTGCCTCCTCCTCCTCCTCCTCCTCCTCCTTCTCCTCCTCCTCCTCTCCCGATCCGCGCGGGCCGCGCTGGCCGCGCCCGTCGCCCTCCCCGAGATCGCGCGCGGCTGGCGGCGGCGACGATGCCGTCGGTCCACTCGCGCGAGACGTCGTCGAAGCAGCCGTACAGGTCCTTCGCCGGGACGGACTTCGGGTTGAGGCGTGCCTGCCGCCGGGGAGGATGCGCGGGAGAGGCAGGAGGAGGAGGCAGGAGGAGGAGGAGGAGGAGGAGGAGGAACTCTCGAGGAGGGAGGTTCGAGGAGGAGGAGGAGGAGGAGGAGGAGGAGGGGCGTAGGAGGAGCAGGAGGAGGAGGAGGAGGAACCCTCGAGCGGAGTCTACTCACGTGGGGGATCCGGCAAGCAATGCAGCTGCTCCGCCACCGAGGGTGCTCGGGAGAAGCGGTGCGTCTGCGTGACGAGAAGGACGACTCAATGGCACGCTCGAACGTGGCAACTTCCTCTCAATACTATTCGAACCTGACATACGCGCACGGCTCGCAACATCGATCAGTCGCACGAGAGCCAAATGCCTAGACGGACGATTCCAAACGGAAGCCAGGTACTTTGGTCTGGACGGCCAGCCGCGAGACTCGTCCAAGGATGCGACGGGAGTGGAGTTGGAGCGGGCGCCAGCGTAAAGACAGAAGCAGGAGCAGGAGTCCCAGAAGGCGCGTCAGGCGCGTCAAGCTTCATGAGCCCGACCCCGTTGAGCTCATCCATGACCGCAGCCAAGCCGCCATCGGAGGTTCGAACGACTCATTCCGCGGCATTCGATGTGTGCTGTTCTTCGGCTGATGAAGCCATCGGGGGACTCCCAACGTTCTTGAATGAGTCGGCTCGCTGCCAAAACAAATTCCCCAATGGATCAATCCATGCGGACTGCCAACGCATGCCAACTGCCTACTTGGCGCGGAAGAACACCTGGGCGAGTGTCCCCCAAGCCTGCCTCACAATCCGCTTTGTCGACGGCGCCTGCAATGTACAGATTCGCACTCCTCGATTCCAGCGCCACAGGCGACGAATCTGCTTCCATCGCTTGCTGCTGCACCGCCCAAACACTCATTCAGAATCAATGTATGGGTGCCGCCCGCAGCGAATTCTTTCCTCCACTGCTCTGAACCTTCGGACGCGCTCAGCACCATCACCTTGCCAGAAAGTCCCTCACCGCCGTCAGACGGTACACCTTGGCAGAACAACAACATACTTCTCACCTCTTACAATTTGTAGATCGGTACCCACTCCATGGTTCACGCCGTGACTCGTCGGCCCTCACAAAATACCTCCTGTGCTCGACAACACCGCGGCCGATGCGTGCTGGCTCTCGGGATACAACAAGCAAGCCACGCTGCTATTGCTCAAAACGCGAGCTGACTTCGTAATGTTGAGCTACATCACTGTATCTGTCCAAGTAGCGCTCGCAACCGTTGGGGCAATACTGCTTGTGACGGCCGGCATCTGCAACTTCATCACAACAGCCGTGCCTTCGAACACTTTGCCGTAACTCTTGAAACTCATATTTTCAACTGCAGGTTTATCCTTCAGCCTTCAGACATAAACATCTGTCGAATTCACAATGACCATTTCAAAAGCCCCGTACTGACCAACAGCGTCAACGAAAGTAGCTGTCCAAGTCTCTATGCCCCCACGTGCTGGAAGTTTCGTCAAAATTCGAGACATATCGCCGCCCAGTATGCGGTAGCCCGCAAGAAGCAGATCGCCACCCTTCCAGAGCTGCAACCACAAGCGTAGGGAGATCGGCCTTCTCGTTCTCCTTCTGCACCTCCTCCTTTCTCAACTTTTTCTTTTTCATCATGCTTCCCTTCCTCTTTTCCCCCCTCCAGGACAAGTGGGGGCGTGGGGGATCCCAACATCCCTGTGGCCCTGGCTGCCCTGAGTCCTGCAGCTCCGCCGCGGCGTTGCGGGCGTCTGGACAAGCAGCCTGAGTGCGCCGGGTCCACTGGACAGCGCCAAAAGCGGTCAGCTTAACTGCAAAGCCCTCTATGACCTCGCTGGTTTCGGTTTCCAGCGCCTTGCCGGTCAGCGCATCGCTCCCGTTCGAGGTCTGGGTTCCATGCACGGGGTGCAGGACAGCGACTGGACTGAGCTGCTCCACAGCGTGACTAACAAAAAGGTGGGCGACGCGTCCAGGCAGAATCCAGGTTCATGGACTTCACGGGGTACGTATATACATCACGACAGGCACGAGGAATTACAACCATACGTACATCACCAACGGGCGAAACGATATCACTTGTACATGCACGGCGCGGAACCCGGCATGTACACGTATCACGCGAAACGGTATCACGGTTGACGTGAGCCCACCCCATCTTGTTCATATCTCCTCTCGCTCGCCGCCCACCAACAGAAACATAGAGGATGACCTCGAGGAGGGGAGGGAGGGAGCTGGGGGTGGAGGAAGATGAGGCGCTGGCCCATGCCCTCCCTCCTACTTGCACCCCTCCTGCCACTGGCCGGGCACCCTCCTGGTGGACAATCTGGGTCGCGTGCATCGTACCCTCGTTTGCCAAGTCCGTGAGCGCCTTCTGCAGCGTGTTGAGGGCGGTGGTCTTGCCTCCCACTCCCCCGCTCGCGCCCGGGACACATGGGATCACATGGGTAGTCTGGGCGGTGAGCGTCTTCTGATTCGACGTTTCGACACAGCGGGCGGAAGGGGCGAGGGGGCAGGGTGGGGTCTGGCTCTGGGCCTCTGCTTCACGTCACTGCTTGCAGCTGCGCGTCCCGTGGGGGAGACCCCGCCTGCTCGAAACAGGCACCCCAAACAAGCAACAGCTACTCCACGGGGGGGGCGGGAACGGGGGTGCGAGGGCCCGCGCCGATCGGCAGAGCAATGAATCAGAAAACAAAGACGAGGAGCACGCCGACACCCCGTGTTTGCATGCTGCAGCCCTGCTGCGGTTTTGAACTGCGCGCCTTGTGCCCTGCGTGCTTTTGGACCGCTACGGCAGTGGGGACGCATGGGCCCCGCGGGCGGTCCCCCCGATATGCCACCCGCAGGCAGCCTCCCTGGGCCCCGGTGGGACCCTCACATCGACGGCGAGCGAGAGGGGGAAGTGAGAATAGAGGCCTCCTGGATGGGGTCGGAGTAGATGGGGTCGGAGGATCGTGCCGCATCGCCGATACATCAACGATGCATCGGCGATGCATCGGTGATGCACTGGCGTTGCACCGGCTATGCATCGTTGACGTCGGCGATGCATCGGCGACGCCGACATGAAGCAACTCGGGCTCCACATCGAGCCGCAACGCCGATGCGTCGGCGATGCGGAGCGATTCTCCGACCCCATCCTCCAATCCCCATCTAGGAGGCCTAGGGAGAAGGAGAAGGCCTTCTCAGAAGGCGGCGGGACTTCTCGGAAGCCCTCTTGCCTTCTGAGTTCTGAGTTCTTGGTTTGTGTCTTCGGGGAAGGCTTAGAAACCTTCTCAGGAGATCTGGGGACTCCCGAGCCTTCTGAGAGGGCCTTCTCCTTCTCGCTTCCTTCGGGCTCGCCGCCGATCATAAGGCCCCTGTAAGACGTTCCCCGGGGCGCTTTCGAGCCGCAATCTAGGGTCACGCACGAAGCCTCTGGATGACCCAGAGGAGGTAAGGACACCCCATGTGAAGCTCTGATCACATCCACGGGTCTCGCGATACCTCCCCAGCCGAGCAGCAACACAGCATTCGCTTCGCCGCCGCAAGATTACTCTCACACTACCTCCAGAAGACCACGGACGGCTCCTTGCGCCCCTTGAGCACCTCAACCAGCCGCCCCTGCATCTTTTCTTTTGGGGCCATGCTATGCCGTCTGGGGATCCATATAAAGCATAGATGCCGATACATCTATATATGCATATATGTGTATACATATGTATGTACAAATATGTATATGAATATGGGTGTCTGCACATGCGTGTACGCGGTATCGATATATACACATATATATATACATATAAGTACAGATTTATAGCCAATAAATCCACTATCGACTCCGCAGTGTTATTCTGAACCCTTCAAATAATGCATGTATTCCGAAGGGCGGGAACCGCCGAACGAGATCGCTGGCACCAAGCGGTTTGCCTTGTTGGTGGTTTAAGTTCCTCTGGTTTCAGAGCAGGGTATGGGAGGGAGGGGGAGGAGGAGCAGGAAGAGGAGCCGGTCAGGGATGAGGGACGAGGGAGAAAAAGAAGGAGAAGAAGAAGGAGGAGGAGCCTGTCAGGGATGGGGGACGAGGCAGGAAGAGGAGGAGGAGGAGGAGGAATAGAAGGAAGAGAAGGAACAGGAGGAGGAGGAGGAGGAGGAGGAGGAAAGGAGGAGGAGGAGGAGGAAGAGAAGGAGGTAGAAAAGGAGGATGACGAGGAGGACGAGGGGGTTCCCGGTGGGGGGGTCCGGGTGGGGGGTGGGGGTGGGGGGGGGGGAAAGGGGGAGGAGGGGGAATTCAGCGAGGGCGTCTCGAGCGGGCTCCGTGGGGGGGTCCAGGGTGGGGACGGAGGGTCTTGAGAGGGTGTCTCGGGGAGGAGAGCCCTCGGGCACCCCCAACCCTTCGTAGGTGACAGTCGGAACTAAGGTATCTACTTGGTTCCTATGAGAACTTTGAATCTTGGGCAAACGCGGCTGCGCGCGTGTCTGTGTGTATGTGTATGTGTGTGTGTGCGTGTGTGCGTGTGTGTGTGTGTGTGTGTGTGTGTGTGTGTGTGTGTGTGTGTGCGTGCAAGTGCTCGTGGGTGCGTGTGTGCGTGTGCATCCAACCGCGTTCGACGCGATCGTGGTGAACATCGCCGGATGTTAGAAACGTGTGCGCGTGTGCGTGCTCGTTTGGGCGTGTGCGTGCGTGCGTGCGTGCGTGCGTGCGTGCGGTACGTGGCGTGTGCGTGTGCGTGTGCGTGTGCGTATGTGCGCGCGCGTGTGCGTGTGTGTGTGTGTGTGTGTGTGTGTGTGCGTGCGTAGAGAAAGAGGAATGGGTCCCTCGGTGTGGGGCCGAAGCCGGCTGCCTGCAGCAGATTCCGTACTCCTCCCCTTTCCCTATCATCCCTATCCCTCCTATTCGTCCAGCCCGACACCAAGACATGCGAGCGACGATGGGGTCTTACGCGAGATGGCATAGCGACCTGGCGCGAGAGATGGCATGGCGACCTTGCGCGAGATGGCATAGCGACCTTGCGCGAGATGGCATAGCGACCTCACGCAGCGGCTTGCGCGGGCCGCCAGCGCGGCACGCCGCAGTGGAGACGAGGGCGCTTACGCGCGACCGCACGCGGGCAGCTTGCGCGCCGATGTCGGCGCAGACGACCCCGTTTTTCTGGCGTCGCTCAGACGTTCTTCGAACCCCCCAAATGTTCTAGAGGCAGAAGCAGTGCCCCCAGAACACGAGCACGCCGTGCTAAGACAAGACAGCCTCAGCCAGAAGTGTTCTCGGGAGCGGCCAAGAGGGGGGTGTCCAAAAGGGGGGGGTGCAAATCATGACCGGCGGCACGTGCGCGGCCCAGCGGGGGGGCCAGGGACGTAATGAAATAAGGGGAGGCGCCATGACATCTGGGGACATATCATGGCCCCCGCCATGCTATCCCCCCCCCCCCTGGTCCTCACCCCCCTCTTTTCCGCCCCCGATGTTCTCAGAACCTCTCGTGCAGACCACCAGCGGTCTCTGGAACAGCCTCTAGCGGGGCCCACATCGACAAGCCGGGACGCCCCGCCACTGCTCGACCTATGGCGCCCCCACCTCGGGCGCCCTGCCGCCCCCGCCCCGGCCCCGGCCCCCCTTCCCGCCGCCCTCCTCGGGGCCCCGCTGGCCCCGCTGGCCCGTCCAGAACCCGGGCCAGGCAGGCCCTGCGGGATCCTGCAGGAGTACGATCCTCAAGGGCGACGATCGGGGCGAATAGCCCAGGGTAGGGCAGCACATGCATCCGAAAGGGCGCCGATGGTTTATGCCTTCGACAAGGCTCCCAGGCGAATGCGTGTAGTGCCCGCCCCTGGGCTATTCGCCCTTATCGTCGCCGCCGAAACCCTGCATGAGCAGGAGGAGGAGGAGGAGAAGGAGGAGGAGGAGGAGGAGGAGGAGAAGAAGGAGTAGGAGTAGGAGTAGGAGTAGGAGTAGGAGTAGGAGTAGGAGTAGGAGTAGGAGTAGGAGTCAAGCTAGCCAGCTCGAGCGAGTCAAGCATGGCATGCCCAGTCCCACCCGCCCTCCCACAACATAAGAAGCAAAGCTGGCACAACTGGGGGCCGAAGTCACACCGGCCAGCCGGTTTGGTACAGCTGATGCGGCCGCGATGGCGGTTGCCGACGGGAACTGGCGAGCGCGTGTTGAATGCCGCGCACGCATTGCCAGACGAGTCGAGAATGGCCCGGTACACCGCAGGAAGCCAGAGGTGGCCGGAGGAAGCCCGACGGTCTGACAGGACACCCCAAAGCATTTTTGTGAAAAAGCATTGGGTTTTTGATGTTTTTATGTTGAAATGCTTGCAAACACACGGTGTTCGGTAGGATTCTGACATGAACGCGCGAGTGTGCTCTTTGTGGTATTTTTTTGCACAGGATTCGCGGCCTGGGTGCATGACAGAGCATCGCGAGTGCACCGCGCGATGACGTGAAATCGCTGGATTTGACAGAATTCTTAAGATTCCTATGGTTTTCCTATGATTTCAGCAAGAGAGCCCGGGCGGGAAATTTGTACAATTTTTGTGAAAAAGCATTGGGTTTTTGATGTTTTTATGTTGAAATGCTTGCAAACACACGGTGTTCGGTAGGATTCTGACATGAACGCGCGCGTGTGCTCTTTGTGGTATTTTTTGCAATGGATTATCGCCGTGGACGACAGGACGTCCATGTCGAGAGGAAAAAATAAGAAAATGTTGATTTTGTATTGTTTTTTACAGGTTAGGATGGGACCACCCGGATGCGGCCCCTATCGGCCGGCCTGAGGGGGGAGTAGGAGTATATTCTAATAAGGAATAAGGATAGGAGTAGGAGTCAAGCTAGCCAGCTCGAGCGAGTCAAGCATGGCATGCCCAGTCCCACCCGCCCTCCCACAACATAAGAAGCAAAACTGGCACAACTGGGGGCCGAAGTCACACCGGCCAGCCGGTTTGGTACAGCTGATGCGGCCGCGATGGCGGTTGCCGACGGGAACTGGCGAGCGCGTGTTGAATGCCGCGCACGCATTGCCAGACGAGTCGAGAATGGCCCGGTACACCGCAGGAAGCCAGAGGTGGCCGGAGGAAGCCCGACGGTCTGACAGGACACCCCAAGGGGGCCCAGGAGGCCCCAAGAGGCAGGAGTAGTAGTACCAGTGGTAGTGGTGTTGGTAGTGGTAGTGGTAGTAGTAGTAGTAGTAGTAGTAGTAGTAGTAGTAGTAGTAGTAGTAGTAGTAGTAGTAGTAGTAGTAGTAGTAGTAGTAGTAGTAGTAGTAGTAGTAGTAGTAGTAGTAGTAGTAGTAGTAGTAGTAGTAGTAGTAGTAGTAGAACAAGTAGTGCTATGACACAGAGAGGCCTCACGAGAAGGCCCCAGGAGGCCCCAAGGGACCCCATGCGCCCGTACGATTCATGGGATTGCATTAGGAGGCGTCCAGAAGGCCCC